GACTAGTCAACTCTAGTGCCCACCAACTCCATGAAAGGATGTTTGCTCGTGAGTAGACAATAGTACTATTCACTGTTGCAAAGGACAAGCTTTCCTCTTAAATCTTGACGCGTGTTCTAACCCTTCTAATTTTTATTTAATGCAATGGGTATAAATAGTTGAGTGCTCTCCTCATGCACAACATCTATCTCCAGCACACAAAAGAACACAAATGCTTATCTTCAAGCAAGTTAGAATTTCTCTCAAAATTCTAAAGTTCTTACCCAAGAAGAACATCTTTCTGTCTTTATTTTATTCGAAAAATTTCTTATATTTGCTAATTTGTGTGTAATCTTAGATTGTTTTAGATAGGTTATCTTTACCTTTTCTATTTCTGCAAATAATCTGTAAAAATCAGTATTGATCCTTCTATATCAATATATATTTTTAAATACGAAAGTTTTATGTGTTTGTATTGATCCCCTCCCCCTTCTACAAATTGTTCCTCTGAACTCTTGTAGACCCGGCTGGGACCAACAGACAGCAGATTTACCTCAAAGTTTTGGGAGAGTGTTCAAAGAGCTATGGGATCTCAAATCAGATTAAGTACGGAGTATCATCCTCAAACAGATAGGCAGAGTGAAAGGATAATTCAGACCCTTAAACTTATGATAAGAGCTTGTACTATTGACTTCGGGGATCTTGGAAAAATCATCTACCTCTGATCGAATTTTTTACAACAACAGTTACCATTCCATCATCCAAGCAGCACCTTATGAGATTTTATATAGCCGAAAGTGCATAACGTCGTTGTATCAGAATGAAGTAGGGGAAAGAAAGTTGGCTGGTCCAGAGATTGTTCCAATAACTTCTGAAAAAATAGGTCAGATACGAGAATGAATTAAAACAGCTCAAGACCGACAGAAAAGTTACGCCGATAAGCCCCATAAGCCGATTGAATTTCTAGTAGGACATTTTGTGATGTTAAAAGTCTCTCCATGGAAGAGTGTTATTCGATTTGGGAAAAGAGGTAAACTCAGTCGAGGTATGTTGGACCATTCAGAATTTATAAATGGGTTGGCCGAGGAACTAAGATCAATTCATAACATTTTCCATGTCTCTAACTTGCGAAAGTGTTTGGCCGATCCGAATTTGGCAGTACCGCTACCTGAGGTCCAAGTGGATAGTAAGTTGAATTTTGTGGAAACTCATGAGATCGTCACTGACTGGAAAACAAGGGTTTTAAGGAATAAAGAAATTGGTCTCGTAAAAGTTCAGTGGCATTTTCATAAACGTCCAAAAGCTACTTAGGAACTGGAATCATAAATGAGATTAGAATATATGTGGTTGTTTTATTAATTGAATTCCGAGACGGAGTTTTTTTGAGGGGTGGATAATGTGATAACCGGATATTCAGATATAAAGATTCAGGGTGATTTTTGAAAGGTGATGGTAAGTGGAAGGGTTTAATTTGTGTATGTGTTTAAATGTTTAAAATAATCCCCACTGCCTAAATATTATTATATATGAGATATTTGTTTTATCTCATGGGAGAGTATGATTAATTATTTTAAAAACCTTCACCACCTCTTATCGTTTAAAGTAAAGTATTGATAAGATACTTATCTTATCTCATCGAAATTGATGGAGAAAAAGAAAAGTGAGATTTTCAATGTGTGTTCTCTTGTGTTGAAAGTAAACAAGCCTGTAAGGGGAAGAAGAAGTTGATTCTATGATTTCTACTTGAATTTGTTGCTGTGATTAATTCATCTTCATCTGCAAGAACAGAAAGTGAGTTTAAATTTATCAATTATCCTCATTTGGTATTTGAAACTTGAACCGTGTGGTTCTTATATGGGAATGATGAAATTGTTCCTTGATGCTTTTTGAGCATGATGGTGAGACTAGGTATAGAGCCTTATGGTTCTTTATACGAGTTTATGTTATAAAAATGTTTTTAATGCCATTATTGGCAAAATTGGTGGGCTTTTGTTATGATTATATCTTGTGTGGAAATAATGATGGCATATTAAAAAGAGGTATATACTGGGATAAGGGTGGCATATCAAGGAGAGTGTATACCAGGATAAGGGCGGTATAATCATGAAATTTTGAAACATGGGTTTTGATCATATGTTTTTGTTACCGCATCCTTGTGATGCAGCGACCTTGAGTTATCGCATTTGTGTGATGCGAGGACTTGGGTTGTCGCATCCTGTTGATGCGATAAGATGTTAATATGATGAAGTGGAAATTATTTTATAACCAGAGGGGCTCTGGTTGGCCTGACTTCAGGATGGCTTTACTTCTGTTTGTTCATTTGAACATTGGAAAAATATTTCAATCCATGATAAAGGAACCAAAGGGGCTCTGGTTGATCTTCATGTTAAACCAGAGGGTCTCTACTTGTAATTAGAACTCAAATTCTTTAAGTATTTAACATTTCTTGATCCAGAGGATCTGGATATATGAACCAGAGGCTCTGGTTGACCAGAGAGGCTCTAGTTGGTAAGACGAGAGGATCTCTGGTTGGCCATTGCTTCTGGTTGGACCTTGCTTCTAATTGGCCTCGCTCTAGTTGGTAGGACAGAGGGGCTCTTGTCCTTAAGGACCAGAGGAGCTCTGGTTGGTCTTGCTCTGTATGATGTAAGGTTTACCCATGAAGTATTTTTCAAGATATTAGGTATTTGAATAACTCTTCAGACTAGTAACTCTGAAGTATAACTATAAAGGTTGACTCTTCAGACTTGTAACTCTGAAGTATAACTCTGAAGAATGACTCTTCAGACTTGTAACTCTGAAGTATAACACTGAAGATTGACTCTTCAGACTTGTAACTATGAAGTATAACTCTGAAGATTGACTCTTCAGACTTGTAACTATGAGGTATAACGCTAAAGATTGACTAACTCTGAAGTATTTTTAACCTGAACTTTGAAGTCTTCTTTTCAGATCTCTAAAGATAAGTCTGCAGACTTCAAGACTTCCATATTTGGCCCACACTAAAACAAAAAGGGCTTTATAGGACACTCATTAGTGTCCTAATAAGGTAGTTAATAGGACTTTTAAGTTTATAGGACAAAAAATGTGTGTGTCTCATCTAAAGGTGTTGTATTAGGTTAATAGGATGAATTTGAGTGTCCTAAAAAACTCTAGGATTATGATACAAAACCCATAGTCTTATAAAATGGTTTAAGTAACACTAAAAAGTGTCCTAATGGACTATAATATAGGACACTTTATGTTGTCACAAAATGTTTACATTTAGAAACAAATATGGGTGTCCCAAAAAATGTTTTTATAGGACGAAATTCAATGTCCCAAAAAATGTTTTTATGAAACAAATTTTAGTGTCCTATAAAATGAACTATTTAGTGTCCTATAAAATGAACTAAGTAATACTAAAAAAGTGTCCTAATAGGCTATAATAATTAATACTACAAGCGTCCTAAATGACTATAATGCGAGACGCATCATCCAATTATAAAATCTTTATGTAATATTACATTTAGAAGCATATATGAAAGGTTTACGAATTGATTTGATAGAACAAAATTCAAAGTTGTAGAAGTACTTACATGAGTACCAACTATCAAGCTATGTATCCACCACAAAGTTGTATCATGACAAAACTAAGTACTAAACAAGAATTACGCAAATACAAAAAATCTTATATATTGTGTCTTACAAACGAGAGATATCCATCTTCGTCATGCACAATCTACAATTAAAAAACAGATATATGAGCTTAAAGTTGTGTAATAAAAAAATTCTACACTTGCTAAAACTCACAAGTGTTAAAAGATTAACATACCAAAGTGAAAGGACAAGGCTATGCGATTGTTGCTCCAATAATGTCTTCAATTGTAATAAACAATCCATATGCTCTAACCAAATTTTCCCTCCTTTATGATGAACAACATCCCCAACCTACAAAAACATGATTGAAGAACAACATTATAAGATTTTATTAAGTTTCATAATAATCTTGTAAGATAAATGATTAAACTTTACCCTATCAACTCCATATTCCCCAAGTTGGATCAAAGGGAAATGAATCATAATGAATAAGAACGTCCAGTGATCAACTACGAAAGTGTTTGACTAGCTAACTGCTGCATAGATTACAAGCATACCCGGTAAGAATTTTTGCGTTGTCAGTTTTGTGCTGCTGTAGCTTTTTTAATACAACTTTCACCTCAAAGCTCTAAAATTCATGACTCCAGTTGCGTTGGAAAGATAAAACATATATCTACATCTTTGAGATTCTGAGTTTTCTCAAATTCAATTTACATATACGACTTATTCTGTGTCAAAGTCTATAGATGGTGTATATATATGGTGCATGATTGTACAAGTGTAAGACCTGACCATCTGACTTAACCATGGTTGATATGGGTAATGCATGGTTAAGTCAGAAACCACATGTGATGCTAGATATATACAAACATATCATTGACAAATATTATAATATACACACACACACATTTATAGATACACATAATATTATAATAGAATGCATGAGTATTATATTATAAATATCTAAATAGAAGGAGGGTTCTTGCTTCTCAGCAAAAAAGCAAAATGGATAAGCTATGGTTATGTAGAACCATCAGATCTAGTTATAGGAGGAGGAGAGAAATATGGTGAATTTTCAGGGATTTAAGATTTTAAACCTACCAATAGCAGTTGTTATGATGGATGTAGTCAGAATGATCACATTTGGTGAAGACTTCAATTTTTCCATCTTAGTCAGTAAAGCATTTACCACCTGATCATGTCCAAGTTTCAGATAAGAGAAGGATCAGATCACTGTTTTGCTTAAAGAATTGGATTTGGTCATCAGAAAAAGCATGGATGTTATATTGGTAGTTCAAATCATTGTACTTGGCAAGGAGATGTTAACTAACCACAATACTTCCCAAAATTCAAAGAAAAACAAGATTTTATAGTTGTTTCTTTTTCCATGCCGAGAGTATGTTGGTTAGCGGGCAGCTCACTGCCAAGTACAATGGTTATAGATTGTTTCATTCCTTGAGAATGTTGATACCCTTAGAGAATCTGAAGGTTTTGAGCCAGATAAAGCATCTTTTCTTGCTGCAACTAGGCTTTCAACTTCATCTGCAACATAGCGAGTTATTAGTTTTGAATGCTATAGATTGCATAGAAAACAAATCATACATGGAAGAGGGGAGCATCGTGCAGTCATAATGAATTTAAACCAAATTAAGCTGCCAACCATCCATGGTAGCTTTGTAGAGCCAGTAAGTGCTCTCTATCAGTTCTGGACGTAATGTGTAGCTTTTTTGACCATGTTGCAGATGGATTTAGAAGAACAAGACATATGTAAATCTTTATGGCATAACTGAAGACATATAAGAACAAAACCCACTAAATTTCAACAATAGAAAATAATAGATTAGTATGATTCAGACATTTTTTGGCCCAGGCATCACCATTTTAAATTCTATAATAAATGTGTCTTTCAATGTGCCACATTAAGTGCCTGCTAAGAAAATGAAATCCCACCCTACAATGAAAATTGTACTCAAGGCTCGTCTGAGATACATAAGAGTAGATATCATGTTTTTAAAGCCCCTTGATAATTGGTCCACGTCCAAAGAAAGCACAAGCAAGCTCCCTACGGACTAAAGCAGGCTCCTTGTGTTTTTAAAGCCCCTTGATAATTGGTCCACGGTTGCATTATATCCCTGTTAAGTAGGCTCTCTACAGACTAAAGCAAGCTCCTTGTGTTTGGTTCTCTCATGCACTAGAAGCATTTGGCATGACCGGTAGTGCCTATGACTAATTTTATGTGTTTTCGAAAAAAGAGTTGCAAGAGTGTTGTGCTAGTTTTCTATAAGGAAGAGATTGCTAATATTGGAAAGTTTCACCCAAAAGGAGTTCCATACTACCAAAAGACTGGTAGTCTCATGTACTACCATGGCATTGAGGTAACCAGAATTTCTCCGGCAAAGTATTTCCTTCATATTTATGTTGAAGAAGGTATGCTTCACTATCGGACAATAGATCTAACTATACTTCCTTATTTTAAGTGGAGAAAGCCTCAAGGATCCAGGGAAATATCCAAGACTTGAAAAAATTAAACTCTCACGTAACTACAAAGTAATACATTGCATTCTCGGTGAGTATGGTAAGCCAATTTATGTCTTTCTGTTATATGAATGACTAAGATGCAGTGATACACATCTTAAGATTATCAATTGCGTCTTTGATTATTGAAGCCGTATCCATCTTTAAAAAGCGTATACGGAAAGAGCAAGAGATGTTTAAGAGCTACACACACAAACACACAAAATGAACAAATATAAGAAGTACAAACTGATAAACATATACTACCAAAAGAGTCATCCCATTGCCCTTCCCACTACTAGAGTGTTACTGAATAATATATGCCATCATTCACTTTTATGCTCATTGTAATCTATATAATACAACTTTTCATTATACTTTGGCTAATTTGCATTATACTTCCATATAATACAACTTTTCATTCACGATTTTAAGACACGATTGTGGTGGTTTTAGACACGTTTGTAGGAGACAACTATGGCCCAAATACTTGTATGAAAATTCAAACCAACATCTTTAAAAAATAAAATATTGCAGATACATAGAGCCAAAATTTCTTACCTTATCCTGAGTCCTAAGCAGTCCTTTCTAGCAATCCTCATTCGTATAGCAGAATAGAATGGCAAGGCATTTCCACCACAGGTAGCCTCATTTACATTTCTAAGTCCTTCCTGACATAATTTTACATTTGATCTCACCTAGAAACAAGTAAAAGAAACCAACTATAATTCCATTGACCACAATATATATATAACTGCTGAAATTTCTTTAATAACTAAAATTTTAACTGACTAAAATTTACAAATAGAGCAGCCACATTTTCAGCACAGATAAGATAACCAACAATCAAAACCATTGGAAATTAGGCGTTTCAATTTTCAGCACAGCCACATTCTCTCATAGAAGATTGATTATTAGATGGAAGCCCATAGAAGATAGGTCATGTCAAAATTTTAGTAGAAATGCTAACTTGAAAATTAGGCATTTCAATTTTTGTCTCAGAGCAGTGGTTTTAGTGAATTGGGTGTTAATTTAGAATGTCTAAGCTTAAACCAATAGCTATCTTAAGTTATGACTCAACTAAGTTGCTAATTGCTATCKTGTATGAAATAGTCATACCAATACAGACAGATGGTTACATGACTAAGACATGCTATCATACCATTATAAAAAATGCTTTTAACTATGTCCAACCTCCTGTTAGCTACTCTTATCGAAGCACACTTTCAACTCAATACTAAGATATCAGTATTACTACATATTAACACAATTAACATAATTACTACGCATATCATCCAATATCGGTATCACGATCAACTGCACTATAAATTTAAGTTAGAAAAAATACTAGTCGATTTGATTTTGTTACCGTCAATGTTGCAACCGAAAACTTCCTAACTCAGAATTTGACGAACAACTAGGGCTTCAAAGACCGAGGGCTTGAAGGATCTCAAACAGTGCAGATGAGTCGATCGCAAACAGCCAGGCTTTGAGATTCTCAGGGTGTAGAAGTTTCGATCGCAAACGGATTCTCAGGCAGAGCACTCGATGATGATCGCAACCGGATTCTAGGCTTTGAGGATTTGAGGTTTTGGGCTTTCTGAAACAAGTGTTTTTCCTTATCAAGTATTTGGGCTTTCTGAAACAAGTGTTTTTCCTTATCCATCAAGTTCGTTTTGCTGCACTATTCATTTAAAGGCTTTCTGAAACAAGTATTTGGGCTTTCAACGTCAAAATAGTCCAGTGTTTTGGCCCAGTGTTTTTGTTTTAAGTTAAGTAGTTTATATAAATCATAAGAGCTTAAAACTTTGGAAGGCATAAATATATTTCTAAATATATAATTATGTTCATATTAAACTTTAATGGACACTTAAAAGTGTCCTATTAGCTCCTATTAGCTCTTAATCTCTAATAGGACAATCAACCGTGTTGTATTAGCTTTTAAAAAAATAGGATAATTGAAAGTGTCATATTTGCATTTAAAGTAAGATATTGGTCTTTAAAATAATACGGCACTTAAAAGTGTCCTATTAGACAATAAAATAATATGACATTCAAAAGTGTTGTATTAGATTGCATGATAGGACGTCAAGATATGTTAATAAGACATCAAAAGTAAGAGTCCTATAAGATTAAGTCAAATAGGACTCATAAAATAATGTGTCGTATTAGCCTTTAAAGGACGGTTTTCGAAAAGTGTCTCAAAAAAAGTGTCCTATAAACCCCTTTTTGTTGTAGTGCCAAATTGTTTTAATAAAATTTTCATGATATTTAGGACAATTTTGGTCCTAGCAGTTAGTTTTACAAATGTCGATTTATAAACTTTGCATAAAGGGGATTTCTCAATAGACCTCAAGATCTAACCCTCATTTTGTGTTTCAAAAATGTGCATTATAAGTCGGGTTCAATCTAAGGAAAAAGGAAAAGGGAAATTGTGAGATGTTTTATATTCTCGCATGCATGGGATGTGAATGACATCATGTTTATCTGTGGTCTTTTTGAAATACTTGTTATGTATACAAGTTTTGTATATGGATTTTGTTGAAAAATATAGTAGCTACTTTTTATAGTGTAGTTTTTGTATATTTGAGACCGAATATGTAAAGTTGTATTTCTTAATATATGAAATATTTGATTATATGCAAATGTGATTTTGGAATGTTACAGTTGAAAATCATAAAAACTAATCTCAACCATTAATTGATTTTAGTCAATGATTATGAAAGACAATGATAATTTTCTGTGATATGAAAGTATTTGTTAAAGAAATGGTTTGTTAAAACGGCATGAAATGCATTTTTACATGTGAACCACTTTTCCTAATTTCTTTTAATCTATCACTATATCTCCTTTTATTTTTTAAAATAAATCCAATTTATTATTTTAAGATCCGTAAATCATAAATATATTAATCATCTTTTTTCCTTTAATTAGCAGCTCATTTTCCTTTATTTTAAAGCTAAAAACAAACACTATTTTTTAAATATAAATATTTGATTACGATACAATCTAAACTAACAAAAAAATACCAAACAAAGGATCATTTTAATTTTTTTAATTTGAAACCAATATATTATTATTATTATTATTTTGAGATTTTTTTAATCGTTGTGATTTTCTTTTGAAACATTATAAATAAATGAACTTAATGACTTGTTTCATTCTATGAAACGACATTTCACGTCGCGTTTCACGACAACGACATTTATTTGTTCATATTGTGAAACAATATTAAATTGTTTTATATGTGAAACAAAACTTCAGTATTTTAAGTTCCGTTTTATGTTAGTAACCCTTGTTTTTTACAATGTGAAACAACATTACATTGTTTCATATTTTGTCATTTTGCAATGGGAATCAATATTTTAGTGTTTCATATCAACTTATTTTGGTTCTAGTATGAAACAACACTTAAATGTTAACACTATTATATTGTTTCACATGGTAAAATAACGATATATTGTTTCACATGAAAAGTAGTGTATCATTGCGGTGTGTAAAATAACGAAAACTATATGATTATTGTAAACTATAAAATGAATAAAAATAAAACAGAAAATTTAAATAAATAACCATTAGTAGGAAAGATTTAACCCCCAAAACAAAACTAAAAGACAACTTGAGGTTTTTTCAATATAAGTAAGATATGTTTGAAAAACACATTAAGGACAAAAAAAACACACAAAATTCAATAAGAAGCATATGGTTAATAAAGTGTTATTATTTAAATCATGTGTTATAAAATATATTACCATATTTTTGTTAGAACCACTGTTATCGTACCCACAAAATGTGTATATGTTTGTGTGCAATTCGTGTGCAACGAAATGACTAAAATCAAGAAAAATCTACGAAACGTGTATGTGTATATATGTTTATACAACAAATTCTTATCAAGTAAAGTAAGAAAACTTACTTGGAATCAACGATTGAATGATACACAGATAGAGGTCTGCTACGCAGTGTCCTTAAACAGAATTTCGTTCCTACTTGTGCGTAGTTTGAGCGTCCATTCAGAGGATACAACTATCTAATTCGT